ATGGAGAAGCAGGGGCCCAGTCAGCGCCACCATGTCCTGCTTCCTCCAGTGTTCTGTCTCGAGATCCCCTGAGACTGATTAAGTCCAGTCCCCATAGGTATGTGCGCTGCACAATGTGTTTCCAGAGCATCCAGTCCCCCAAGGACTACTGTGTCACTTTGGCAAAATCCCCAGGGGCCTCAGAAAACAGACACATGCTTTTTCCCCCCCCAAAAAAGATAAACCCAGCAGTTTAAAGTTGTTGTGTTTAAGACTTGGCAGATATTCAGTTCTCTGCGAGTTTAGATAGTCATAACTCACCTCTTAAAAAACTTTTCAGTTTGGTTTACTTCAGGTCGGTGACAATCTAGACAGTTGTCACTGAATCTAATCCGTGACAACTGAGAAGGGAAACGGGAGCAGCGTGTGTGCTGACTGTGAGGAACGCGGGAGGATGGCCATTTAGACAGTTGTCTGATTGTGCTGCACCCCTGCACGCCGGAAATCAAATGAAAGGGGTCTCACAGACAGCATGTCACCTCTGCCTCTAGGCACACTTATGTCAATCCAGTGATTATATTTCTTTGCCAAAACCAAAACTGAACCGTTTAGAGAGGTTCATTTCAGTAGTTAGCTTAGAAGTTTGGGTTTTATTCCTCCGTTCTTCATCTCCCTGCCAGCAGACACAGAGGAAAGCCTGAGCCGCAGAACTGTATACTGCCACCTAATTAGAAGTCCCCTTGATTTCGAGTGATTCGGAAATATCTTGCATATGTATGTGTCTATACCTGCATTATTATTAGAGCTTCCAATTCATGTATTGATAGCTCCGTTTTCTGTTCTGTCCTCTGTCATACTATTCTAATTGATATCTCTCTCTTTGTCTGTCTCTGTCTCTATCTCTTTTTCATGGATCTCTTTCTCATGGATCTCATATACACATATTTTTTTTCAGCAACACAAAAAATAATAAATCCAAAGTTGCATAGAAAAAAACCATACACAGAGATGTCATAAATTAAAACCCATGATTCAGTTGCTAGAGAATCAATGTAATAAAGATCATTTCCTATAAGATTTTCTAAGGTCTGATGCTTTATGAATTTCTCCCCTCCCAATAATTTCGATTCTTTTCTCAGTAAAATCTTTTGAGAGAGTAATTTGGATAAATCCCATTCTTTTGTTTTGTTTTGTTTTTTGGTTTTTTCGAGACAGGGTTTCTCTGTGTAGCTTTGCGCCTTTCCTGGAACTCACTTGGTAGCCCAAGCTGGCCTCGAACTCACAGAGATCCACCTGGCTCTGCCTCCCTCCCGAGTGCTGGGATTAAAGGCGTGCGCCACCACCGCCCGGCATAAATCCCATTCTTTACTCTTCCTTGTTCCCTTGGTCTTCCTCTGTCTCCTCCCACCCCGCTGACATCATCAGGGTTACATAGATTCCTAACTGGCATTTCCCAGCTTGCATCTCTTAGGTTCATTCAGCTCCCTAGGGAGATGCCTTCTTCATCCCAAGAACTTCAAGACAAGAGCAACTTCAACCACCAAGAAAGGCTGTGGGAGCCCTTTATGAGAAAAAGCCATCAGGCAACACCACTTAAAAGCAATGTTTTGCCAAGGTTACAGGAGCTCTCCATTCTGGAACCTTTGAGTGAGTTCACAGATCCAAAGAAAGAGTAGATGCCATGAGATTGAGTAGCACTGTCCATGGTTGTCAGCAGAATTCAGGTATAGCAACTTGAGCCTTTCTAGTCCATGTGGTGGCTCTATTTCTTACCGTAAATGAGTAAATTGAAATTCCTGGGCTCATTTGACTCCTAGAAGTTTTTAATGACTAAGATTTTGTCATTCATTTCTTTATAAAAAAAAAAAAAAACAGGGTCTGGGACCTTTTAAGGCAGGGGAAAACTCAGCGGATTCTCTACTACCACGCCGTCAGTGCTGCTTGGAGTTGACATGACATAATTAAATAAGGAATTCTGCACAAAACCTTCCCCAACTTCCTCATTCCCTCTGCTCTGACTACCTCTTTTCTCTCAGCACACCCCTTGGGAGGAGCTCAAGCCTGTGTTCCAGGCAAACTGAATCAGCCAAGCTGCACACTCCCCTACCCTTAGATTTCTGCTTAAACCAGCCCCTTTGCCTGAGACACTCACCCCTGCCCCCTTATCAGTCCCTGCCACCTTACCCAGTTAATTCAGTTTGCTTTGAATGTGATCTCGCCCTGTTTTCCTCTTTCCTCTTCCAGTCGTAAATGAATCATCGCTCCCGTTCATGCTTGGTTGAAGCCACCCCTGTCTGTTCCCTCAGTCTAAAATGCTCTTCGTCTCCTTCCCACTTCCATTCATATTTTATTCTGGTTTTAACTTAGACCATTTCCTTAGGGAGGCCTTTTCTAACTCCCAAGCCTCATTCCGACTTGTGTTTTCCAACCACACTCCTGCTAATGTCAGAGCAGTCATTACAACTACTTGTTTGGAAGTCTGCTCTCTGGCACTCTTTGCATTCCATGGATGCGAGGAAAGGTCGTATTGACTTCTTACTCTCTCACCTCCACACTGAAGCCTGGTGCACAGCAGATGCAAAAATATCTGGAAGGAATTCAGTTTCAATGAAACATATGTTATTATGTTCCTACCATGTGCCAAGCAGGGTTGTAGGTGCTTGGGATGTATCAGTGCACAAAGAAAGTGGCATCCCGGGGCTGGTGATGTAGCTCAGTTGGAAGGGTACTTTCTTAGCATGCAGGAAGACCTGGGTTCAATTCTCAGGATCACGTCGAGTTAGGTGTGGAAGTGTACGCCGTAATCTCAGTGCTTAGGAGGTGAAGACAAGAGGAAAGGATGGATGTTTAAGGTTGTCATCAGCTACACAGTAAATTCAAGGCCAGTTTGAGCTGCACAAGATGCTGTCTCAGAACAAAAAAAGATGGAGAGCCCTTTCCCATGAGGCGCCGTCAGATTCTAGCATTTCTCTCACATCCATGTAAAATCTATCAATAAACCTTGTTGGCGCTACCTCTTTGAAATGTAAAAGTTGAGCATTTCTTCCCATCTCCGGTGCTACCACTGTGATCCAAGCATGAACGCATGCATGCACGCACGCACGCACGCACGCACGCACGCACTCACACATGCACACAATTGAAATTGGATTCCCAACGGCTCCTCCTGTATGCCTAATCCATATCTTAGAAGCAAAGAGTTCAAACATAAATAAAGTAGATGGTGGGTTGGAAGATGAGAGCACTGGGAAAATGCAAAAGCAAAGAACAAGGGAGACACACACACAATTCACAATATTGAACGAGGTGTTGGGGGTGGGTCTCAATGCAAGGGTGATATTTGAACAGAGCTGAAGGAGTCGGTCAGGTAGACAGCTGGGGGGAGGATGTTCTGTGTAGAGAAAGGTTCAGAAATGAGTGTTGCCATCATTGGAAAGAACAATGGTGTGTCCACTGGAAAGAGATGGTGTGTCCAGAGTTAGGCCAGAGATTTTAGACCTATGTAAGGAGTTGGCTTTTATGATGAATTAAAAAACTAATTTAATCTCTGGATTTCAAAGCAACATGATAACCTGACATTTCCTTCCACAGATTTGCTCTGGCAGCTAGGTTAATACTAGAGTAGAGGGGAGAGGGAAAGTCTGTGAACTGAGGGATCAGTTCAGTGGTGGGAGGATCTGATAGGACCAGGTTGCTTGGATCACAGTGGTAGCACTGGAGATAGGGAGAAATGCTCAACTTTTACATTTCAGAGAGGTAGCGCCAACAAGGTTTATTGACAGATTTTACATGGATGTGAGAGAAAGTCCTGAACACAAGTTCAGAACTTTTAACCTATAATAGGTGGAAGGATAGAGTTCCTAAAAACTGAGAAACCACACACACACACACACACACACACACACACACACACACACACACACACACACACAAGTAGGTTTTTAGAGAGATCAGAAAGTCAGTTTTGAACTCTTTGCTTCTAAGATATGGATTAGGCATACAGGAGGAGCTGTTAGGAATCCAATTTCAATTGGGCCCATGTGTGTGTGTGTGTGTGTGTGTGTGTGTGTGTGTGTGTGTGTGTGTGTGTGTCTGTGTGTGTGTGTCTGTGTCTCTGTATACCATGGCACACAGGTGGAGGTCAGAGGACAACTTGTAGGAGTGAATTCTCTTTTTCCATCCTGTGAGTTCCAGGGATCTAACTCAGGATGTCAGGCAAGACAGCAAGTGCTTTTCCCTCCTGAGCCCTGAAGTCAGTTTTGGAGGAGAGGCAGAAAAGCCTGTGGTTTAAGAGAAAAGGGGAGAAGCACAGGATCAATGAATGTGTGAAACCCCATCACCTCTGCCCCCTTCTACGTTCTGTGTTATCATTTTATCTGTACCTTTCCTGCCTCTTCTACATTAGAGATGTTTGAAGACAGGAAGAGGCTATATCTTAAAAAAAAAAAAAAAAAGCCTCCGGGCGGTGGTGGCGCACACCTTTAATCCCAGCACTCGGGAGGCAGAGCCAGGCGGATCTCTGTGAGTTCGAGGCCAGCCTGGACTACCAAGTGAGTTCCAGGACAGGCGCAAAGCTACACAGAGAAACCCTGTCTCGAAAAACCAAAAAAAAAAAAAAAAAAAAAGCCTAGTTGCCATGGAACCTGGCACAGGTACATAGCAAATACTCCATCCATGTTGGTTGACTGACAGCAAACATTAAATGAAGGTGGTCTTGGGTAAAACTCTATTCTTACTTATCTTTTTGGTGTTTTCACATTTTTTTTTTTTTTTTTTTTTTTTTTTTTTTTTTTTTGGTTTTTCGAGACAGGGTTTCTCTGTGTAGCTTTGCGCCTTTCCTGGTACTCACTTGGTAGCCCAGGCTGGCCTCGAACTCACAGAGATCCGCCTGGCTCTGCCTCCCGAGTGCTGGGATTAAAGGCGTGCGCCACCACCGCCCGGCTATGTGTTTTCACATTTTTAAAAATAATGATCATAACACCCACCCCACTCCATGCTACCCTCTAGCTGCCCCAGCTTTTCCTTTATTGTCCTTCTGATCTCACTTGCTTGGCAGTGTGCCCACATCAAGTCTATGCCCCAGGAAGATGAAAGAAGTAAGTTCAGGATAGCTAACATTATTAGAGAACTTCATATCAGGAGCCTATCATTGAATTGCATTCTGCTTGGGTAAAATCCACCAAAGAAAGGTGTTCTAACACTTAGTAGGAAGGAAAGTAGAAACTAGGTTTCCAGGCACAGTCAAAAGAACTTGAAAGAGGAAAAGTACGTTGTTTTCTCCTTTTAATCTGAATTGGAAATGTCTAACAAGAATATTAATCAACTGTTTCTAATAAAGTAAGCAAGCAGGCCAAAGGAAGCCCAAGCACCACTGAGCTGTTCTTAATTGCCTTCTCACAGCATTGGATTTTAAAGTTGTAAAATACTATCACATTACCTCTTCAAGTGAGGCATGGATCTGTTTGATGATTTAATGTACTTCCCTCCAATTAGTTGTAATCATGTGCTGATTCTCCATGGCTATGCATTCTGAGCTAATTGTGGAGTAGATATAGAATTTGAAATGATGCCTTTAACTCACTCATTTATTGAGAGAATTCCTACATAGGTTAGTTAGGGCTGTGGGAAGGAGAAGAGGAGAGACAGAAGAAGAAATAGCAGTTGCTAAGAACAGCACTAACAACAAGCATACATTTAAAATGAAGACCCGACAGTAATACTCAGACACTTGCAACCTCTCTCGCCCTTCCTGTCGACAAGTTCAAATTCCATTTTTTTGTTTCTTCTCCAACCTCTCCTTTGCAACTAGGGAATTTATCCATGATCCTCAAATATTTATACTAATAAGTTGTCAGTAGTCTAATCCTTTAATGACCAGGAGCAGCGTGTCATTACAAATGAAATGTTGAGGCAGAAGGAAATTATTTGACAATTAATGTGCAAGAGGCTCATGGGAGAGTTACCCAGGTGTGAAGTTGGAAAGCGGTTTGATAAATACCTTCCACAGGGTGAAGGCGAGAGCTGTATCATTCAATAAAGCCAATGATTTCCATCGGGAGAAAGCACGCAGCAGGGGTGCTGGGAACATTTTGGTCCTTTGAGCACCTTAGTTTTCCAGAAAATTAGCAGAAAGGGATTCACACGATTTTGCCCCTTGTTTTCCAAAGACTGCCGAGAAGCCGGAGGAGTATCTGGAATGCCTGGCAGGTCACCGGAAGGTGAATGGAGTTAAGTGTGGTCTGCAAACAATAGGCACTACCCATTAATATTTGACTCAAAGGAAAACTGCCAAAAAAGGGTGAAGCGAATCACAGATACTGACTTTATTCGGGAAATGAAAGAATTATCAGCTCAGCAAAGACTCACAGTCGTGGTTCAGTTCACCTCAAAACTCTTTGTGGTCCATTCGAGGCTGCCTCAGCTGTGGCAATTCAAGACATCTCTTGTATTCAGAGGCAATTTTGCAATAAGATATAGAGTTAAAGAATAAAGTACCCTTTTCCATTTCCGTTTGCTTCTCTTTCCCCAACAATCAAGCTTTCAGACAAGCAAGATAAAACCCAAACAGCTTCAAGATAGGGACATTTTATGAGCTTCCTTTTTGCCATTATTCTCGTTTGAGCAATCCGTTCTTGACAACAGAGTATTTATCTTCCTTGCAATGCCCGGATTCATGGTCTTCTGTCATCCACTCTAGTAATAATTTTGTTGGATAAAAGGTATAAAGAGTCTGTTTTGAAAGTCAATTTGTGATTTTTGCATTTTTAAACTTTCTCCCTCATCCCTCCGAAATCCATCTCAGATGGATTAAAAGATTGACTAACAAAATACCAAAGCCTAAACATCAGCCTAAGATATAATTTAACAGCTCAAAGGCAGTGAAAAAATACTTTTAAAAATAATAAGCTTAGAAACAATAGGCAAAATAATAGTGTATTGACAGATTCAGATGCACAAAAATAGTAACAAAAACTTGATTTTTTTTTCTTACAGAGATTTGGAGGAGACCTCTCATGAGGCTTCACCATATCATCTTGCAGTAGAGACCCTTTACAGCATGCTTTATGAGAAATGCTCAGTGCCAATCAAAATGAACAAACTGTAAATCAAAATAAATTGCACAAGACTGAATAAGTGAGGAAAAAACTCTAATCCTAAAATAGCTAATGAGCATGTGCCACAAATAGATAATTCTCCTGAGAAGGGAAGCAATTCACTCAATAAACACGAGAAAACACTTCAATCTCAATAGAGAACAAATGTACGCAAATCAACCATGAGATGCACTCTTTTTTCTATTAAATTAGAAATGTGTATAATAGTTATACACCTTGTGGATAAGCACACTAAATAATGGACACAGTTTTACTTGCTGATGATTATAGAAACTACTGCTCTGTACTGACCTTGCAATCATAGCATAGGTGCAGGACAGTAAGGTATCTGCTGTTTGGGGCCAAGATGACAGACTAGCCTCTTAGCAGACTGCTACCCCCAAATGTGAATGTGGAGCAACTGTAGGAAAAGAAGGATCCTATTAATCATTCTGACCATTACCATAGTGAAAAACATCCCTGAGATGCCTGCATCCCGTCCTACTGCATAGAGTTCAATGGTTTAGGCTGCCACCGTGGGAATAGGAAGGGAGCTGAGAAAGCTCCCTTAGTTCTGGACTTGCCCCTCTTTTAGGTTGCCTTGGAACAATCATCATTTGCCTTTCATCTTTGACTTGGTACCCTAAGGACAGAATCAGGGCAACAGTGAAGTCCTGCTGGGAAAAGTTCTCCCTGAAAAGAGTTCATTATCAGTGTCACAAAACTACTCTTTCAAACCCTGAGAGATTGTGCTGGCTTGAATAAGAATGCCCTCCCCCAAGTTCAAATATTTGAATGCTCTGTCCCCAGTTGGTAGAACTGTTTGGGAAGGGTTAGGCCATGTAGCTTTGTTGGAGGAGGTGTGCCACTGGGGGTTAGGCTTTGTGGTTTCTAAAGCCCACCCCATTTCCAGTTAGCTGTCTTGTGCTTGTGGATCAAGATGTAAACTCTCAGTTCCTGATCCAGTGCCATGCCTCCCTGCATGCTGACATGTTCCCTGCCATCATGAGCATGGACTCTGGCCCTCTGAAACCATATGCCAATTAAAGGCTTTCTTTTTTAAGTTGCCTTGGTCATGGTGTTTTATCACAACAGAAAGATAATTAAGTCAAGGCAAAGGAAGTCTCTCTGTTGCCACACTCCTCTACCCTATGCTCAAAGGGAAACCAAGCCTGAAAGGGACCAGTAGATGTGCCCAGACTATCCAGTATCCTCTCTCCAGTCTTTGAACACAGCCAGAAAGACAGATTTGGGTGTTCATGAGCATATGAACAGGTAATCCCAGAGCACGTGAATGCAAAGGGCAAAACAACAAACAGCTGAAAACTTCAATGGTAAAACAAAGGTAACAAATGAGCTGAGGTTAGTTACCTGCTCGCAGAATGAAAACGGATTTTCAAGATGTGAGAACTCGATAGACACAGAGGAAGAGTGCTGAAGAACAAGACAGTAAAGTGGGGAATGAGAACTTTCCCAGAAGCTACAAAAAGTGGTAAAGGTCTAAAAACAGAAAAGAGTTCACTAAGAAATATAGAGGGGCAAGACCAATATCCAGGAAACAGTAAGGTCCAAGAGGAGAGAAAAAAAAATGAAAGGGATATAAATCAAGAAAGGACCAAAGGCTTTAGATAGAAAAGGTAATCCATGTGGAGAATTCTCAAAAAGCTAAAAGCAGATCTGCCACATGGCTCAGCTGTACCACTCTTTGGTATACACCCTAAGGACTTGACATCCTAATCCACAGATACTTGCTCAGCCATGTTCAGTGATGCTCTTGTCACAAAAGTTAGGAGATCTATGTCTTTCAATTGATGGCTTGATACTGGAACATTGGCACACGTATGCAATGGAATTCCATCCACCTGTAAAGAAAAATTAATAAATTGCAGGTAAATGGATGGAACAGGGAAATATGTAACAATAATAAAGAGGAAGTCATGAGTTTGAGGAGGGACATAGGAGGAGTTGGATGGGGAGAAAGAAGGGTAGACATGGTGTAATCACAGTACTTGTGTATAATATTCTCAAAAAGTTTTAAAAAATTAGATTAAGGAAAAATAAATATTGAGACTTAACTTAAACATAAGAATTGTAGCAGGAATACTGATTGGTCTTAATAATAAAAACCCAGAGTCAGATATGGGGGAAATGCTGAAAGATCAGAGAGAGAAAAGAGCAAGCCACAGCCACTACCTCTTACCTTACCTTACCTCCTCAGCCTGAAAGTGACTGAGTTCCTGTCTCCTCCTGCCTTATAATCCTTTCTCCGCCCAGCCATATCACTTCCTGTCTCCACCTCCCTAGTGCTGGGTTTAAGGCATGAGATCCCAAGGGCTTGGATCAAAGGCATGAACCACCACTGCCTGGCTCTGTTTCTCTTTTAGACTGCATCAATCTTGTGTAGCCTAGGGTGGTCTTGAACTCACAGCTGTCTGCCTCTACCTCCTAAATGCTGGGATTAAAGGTATGTGCCACCACTGCCTGGCCTCTACAGCTAACTAGTGGCTTAGCTCTGCATTCTGATCTTCAGGCAAGCTTTATTTGTTAGATCACAAACAAAATATCACCACAAAGAATACTGAGGATGAGCTAGGGAAAAGCAGGTTATCGGTAGAATGCTTGCTTACCTGGCTTCATGAGACTCTTGTTTCGATCCCCAAAAGAACAAAGGGGAGGGGATGCAGAGGGAGGGCGAAGACAAAGCCTAAGGGAGTAGGAACAGATTAGAAAGAAATAAAAACCATAATCACACCAAATTTCTCATAAATGGCTTGGTATGCAAATGTCAAGAAAGTAATTTTGTTCTAAAGAAAAAAATTCAAGCGCTAGAATTTTGTGTCTAGCTACATTTTAAATTAAATTTGTGAGCATAATAAAAAACATTCTGGTGTGTATACTTCTCTGAAGCTATGCCACCCAAAGACTGCTAAAGAAAATATTTCCAGGAAAACATGAAAAAATATCTGGCAGGAGGAGGAGTGACTGAAGACTTACCAAGTTCTGTTGTTTCTTTGAAAGCCACCATTAAAGACAATTTGAAATTTCTATTCATGATAAACAAAACGGAAGCTCTAGGTATCCATGATAGGCAGGGGATTGGATGGAGACATGAAAACTGAGGGATGAATTTTCTTATTGGGATTAAGTTACAGATACTGATAAGTTTAAAAAAATCAACAAGAATAAGTAAATGTGTGTGTGCAGATTAAGTTAAAGACCACCTCCCAAATAATGTATATATAAAATATTTCACTATCAGAGGAAGGAAAAAAATTACTCAAATATTCAAATGGAAAACAGCCCAAAAACAAAAATATAGTTAATGGTAGTATCAAAAGACAAAATTACAACTAATTTTACTTGTGAGTGTAATGGCCTTTTAGTCATGAATGAAGCATTCTCCATTCTACAGAATGGAACAAGAGTCCCCACTGGGCTACAGGAATGGCAGCCCAGCTGGTTTTGTATGGCAGAAACAGGGAGACAGAACAACACAAAAATAGCCTCAATGGTTAAGAGTAGGTCACTTCAGATTTCTTTTTCTGTAAGGTTAAAGCAGAGAGGTCTTTCTTATTACACTGACTCAGATAGTCTGGGCTCTCCTGTTTTCAGGGAGAAAGAAAACCATCTATTTTGGGATTTATCTTTTCCTTAAAGCATTGGTTTGGTTAGATGACATCTGGTATGAGAGGCTCTATACTTAAATATCTGTTGGGGCCTGTGCAATAGCCCAGGCCTGGATGATTACTTTCATCAGTTTTAGTTAACAGAATGCACAAAATAAGATGATGGACAGAAGTTCTATTGTATCAAGTTAGACACTGCAAATGGTGTCTCCATGACTGTCGGTCACTTTTTAAACTTTTTTTTTTCCTATATGAGGATCCTCAGTAAATAAAAAAAGCAATATCTCAAAAGTTTGCACTTCTGGTATTATTATCTCATAACATTGGGCACAGTAGAAAACCTAGCACATTCCAGACAATTGTTATAGAGACTTTATCAAAACAGGAGGGTAGCTTCTTTTGCTTTTATTTATATAATTATTATAAATACAGTGGACAAAGAATTTCCATATTTTTTTTTAATAATATGGAAACTTCGTAGCATTTGAAACAATAGTTTTCACTAAAAAGAAAGTGAATAAAGAATATAGAATAAAGTGATATGTCAACATTTGAAGGGCACAACCAAAGGAATATTGCAGAATAAAGTCATAGCTTCCATTACCTTTATTTGAAACCAAGAAAGGTCAGAAACAAATGGGAAATTCACAACCACATGTAGTCCTACCCACCCAGCAAGCTGAAAGGAGCGGGTGCTCAAGACAAGTCTGAGAACATGTAAGACCTCATCTTAGTAATAAACAAATGCATCAAAATATAACCTTAAAAATGGGCTCAGGGCTTAGCTCAGTGGTTTAGCATTGATTTGCCTGACACTCATACCATTCATGAAGCTCTTGGTTTTGAGGAGGAAAATTTAAAAAAATAAAAGAAAAATAGATGGTGGGACTTCATTAAAATTATTTAAAAAAGTATAAAAAATTGCCAAGAAGGTAGAAAGCTAATCTATGGAATGAAATAAAATATTTTCATAGCACGTATCTTATAAGAATGTACAAATTCATGGTTTAGAGTATAGCTCAGTGGCAGAGCATTGCCCAGCATGTATGAAATCATAGGTTCAATCCTCAGTATGGGAAAAAGTAAGTTGGAGTATCCAAATGTATAAAGAGCTCTTAAGACCCAGCAAAAAAGAGTCAGTCTGAGCAAGGATGGGAAAAGGACTCCATGAGGACTTTTCTAAAGGAGCAAAACAAATGGCCAAAAAGCACATGAGCAAAGATGCTCAACATCATTAGTTCACTAAGGAGATGCAAAGAAAAGTACAGTGAGGTACCACTTCTGTGTTAGTATTAAAAGACACAATTTGCATATCAAGTATGCTCACAAGAGCTCTGGGGTTCAATACCTGGGTGCAAACTGTTGCAAGCTTCCAGGCTTTTGAGAAATAACTGGGTCAGGAAGACTGTGACCAATCAATGCATAAATCCATCACTAGATTTATAATTTGATGACATGATTGAGAGGCAGTGTAAACTTCTTGAGGGTAGCCCACTCAGAGCAAATAGACCATTTGGGAGTATGTTTAAAGGGTATGTCTTATTCCTGGCTCCTTCTTCTGTCTCTCTCTGGCTGCTATGAGGTATGCAGCTTCCCCACCATCAACCCCCACCTCCATGCCCATTTACCATGATGAGTTTTGCTTTGCCACAGGCTTAAAAGCGATGGACCTAGCGGGTTAAGAACCAAATGATTTTTTTCCCCCTAAAGTTGTTTTTCTCAGTTATTTGGTCACAGGGATGTAAAAGTGACTAACACAGTCTGTTTATATGTGGTAAACAAATAAACCCTCACCCCAAAGAAAATATTGTCCATTGCAGGTTGAAGGCAGGTCTCTGTTCATCATATTTGCTCAGCAAAGTAAGACTCCATCAACAAACGCTTCTGTGATCATCACAGCAGCAGGGAAGAATTGGGCAAATTACATTCAAGTTTCTGCTAAGAAGCGGCAACTGTCACTTTCATTTATATTTCACTGGGCAAAGTAAATCACGCGGCCATACCAACGTTTCATGCCCTTTCTCAGCAAAATTGCCCATATCCTAATCACTGGGACCCACGACTACACTGAATTACCCTGACAAGGGGATTAAAGTTGCAGATGGAAATTATGATTGCTAACCAGCTGACTGTAGAAATATCTTGAATGATTTCACTGAGCCCAGTATGATCACAGAAACCTTCCAAGTAGAGAGGAGCAAAAGAGAGTCAGACAAAGAGATGTGGTGTAGAGTAGTCGAGGGAGATGCTATTCTGCTAGCTTTGAGGCTGGAGGAAAGGAGCATGCATCGAGGAATGCGGATTCTCTTTAGATTCAGAAAAAAGAAAAACCTGAAGGAAATGGGTCTTCCAGCTATGGTTTGAATGAGTGTGCCCCTCCACAATTTTCAGGTTGGAACTAAAATTACAAAAGTGGCAGTGTTAAGAGCAGGGCCTTTGGGCTATGATTAGGCCCAGGAGAGAACCCTGTCCCCATAACTGGGATTTATACACATATGAAAGGTGCTCCAGAGAGCAACCAGGCTTCCATCTCCTCTGCTTTGTGAGCACACAGCTTTGTCTTCTCAGAGGACACAGCAGCAAGGAGCCACCCTTGAGACGTACAATAAGCCTTTATCAGATGTCAACTTTGCTCCTACCTTGCTTTTGGATCTCAGCCTCTATAAATTGGAGAACAAAATTCCTATTGTTTACAAATTATTCACTCTGCATTATTTTATTATAACAGAGCCAAGTAGTCGAAGGCTCTCCCCTGGACTCTTTGATAAGAATGCCCCTCCAACTGATTTTATCCCAAGGATACCGGTGTCAGACTTCTGACCTACAGAGCTGAAAATAGCAAATGTGAGTGGTTTGAAGTCATTAAGTTGGCAGGGATTTGTTACCGCATTGATCAGAAACTAATGTGGTGAGAACTGTCCTCCTGCATGACCAGGTGGAGGAAAGTGGGAAGTTGGTGAATATCACTAATGACTATCTTACAAGGGGAAAGACAGAAGCACCATCAATTTACAGATGACCTCTCCCCTCAAAATGCTGAAGAATTAATAAGAGAACCATGTAAACAATGGGAAAAGTGCAAGTTTTCTGATTTTGAAAATTATGGCTCATAAGAACTAGATACCATTCACAACAGCGAAGAATTAATTGATATAGCAGTGCATGCCTGTAGTGCCAGCTACTTGGGAGATGGAGGCAGGATATGAATTCAGGGCCAATTTCAGTAACACAGTGAGACCACCATCTCTTAAGAAAAGAAAAAAAAAATGAAGCAACTGAGCCAAGTCTATATTCATTCTGTTGGGGGAAGTCATACACAATGGTCTGAATAAATAAAGATATAATTTGGGATGAGAGGTAGGCAGAATAATGCCCTGGGCCACATCACCAAAGCTGTCTGTCTGCTAACTATTGCAGGCTAAAGTTGTATTACCTTATGTGGTAAAATGGATTTTGTAAGATTTGATTAAATTCATGTTCAGCAATCCAATTCTCAGATATAGGAAATGCTTAGGAATTGGGAATTTAATGCATCTTGGAGGGCAGTTAAGAAAGCATTCTGAAAGAGATTTAAGGCCATAAGCTGATAAAACAGTGTGGCTCTGGATCACCTTCCCAGCCAACTGCCTCTTCCCTGCTGTGCTAGCTATCCAGTTCTGTGAAACAAAACATCCCAGTACTTCGTGGTTAGAGCAGCAGTTCCTTCCTTCCTTCCTTCCTTCCTTCCTTCCTTCCTTCCTTCCTTCCTTCCTTCCTTCCTTTCTTTCTTTCTTTCTTTCTTTCTTTCTTTCTTTCTTTCTTTTTTTCTTTCTTTCTTTCTACAGCCCAAGTGGTCCTTCTGTTGTCCTCAGAGGTTGTTTTTGTGACTGCATTCAGCTAAGGATGGCTAGGGATGGCTGGGCCTCTTCCTGTTGCCTCAGGACCCCTTTCTCCACATTTCCATTCATCACTTAGTTATCAGCTGTGTTACTCATGTGGTTGCTGGGATCCAAGTGTCTAAGCTGATCCCTACAGCAGTGGAGGCTATAGGGGGACAGTTACCTATACTCACCTTAATGGAAGACTGGACAGTGATTTTGTTGGGGGTGTTGAATGGGGATTGATGTTTACAGTTAATAAGGACAAAGGAGGGTGGGAGTCATTGTCTTCTAATCTATGAGATAACTAGGATTCCAGCAGCATTATCTTCTAATTCTCAGTATAGCCACACCCACTCCTACATGGTGGGAGCCTGAAGCATTCTTCTCTGGGAAAACGAATCAGCCTTAGGAAAAAGACTAGCATTGTGAAAGGCAGGAGTGGACCAAAGAAACTTGTAGTGGACCACTGAACTTGAACACCACAAGGAGAGTAGCCCAACTGGTAAATTTTGCCAATGAGGATGAGGTTGGTTGTTTTTGGCTCCTTACTTTTGGGGGGGCCTGCCACCCTCGTCCCAAATAAATCACATACACACAGAGAGAGACTTATTATTACTTATAAATGCCCGGCTAGCTCAGTCGGTAGAGCATGAGACTCTCAATCTCAGGCTTGTGGGTTCGAGCCCCATGTTGGGCACCAAATGTTGTTGACTTTTTTATTATTTACAGTAGCTGCCCCTTAAGCAACTGCTGTCCTAATCAGAGACTGCAACTCCGCCTTACCAGCAGCAGTTCCTGAGGGAATTCGATTCCCTCAGGCACTTACTCTTCCAAAGCTACTAAGGTAAACTTTATCTAGATCTCTCTCCCTCTAAAGAACTCACAATTCAAAGGTTGAGATGGAATTCTGCTCTCTCAGAGAGGCTGAATAGCAAGGAGCTCACCTTCTCCCTTTGCTGGCATCTTCCAAAACCTGGGTGTACTTCTGCTCAGCCCCCACTTGAGAACCCTAGCTACACGTGGTTCCTCCCTACCACTTCCTGTCAGCTACTCGCTGACTCAGCCTCCTGCTTGCAGGTGAACTCTATTTAATTAAACAAATGGAACACATCTTTGCACTGTTAACAAAAGCAGTAGGAAAAAATGCAACACACTTTAAAAGAATATTTCACAACACAAGGAGCTGCTTCTATGCTTTTTAGCACCTCACTTTTAAATATAAAGAGCCAGCCCAGGATAGCTAGGTATATTCTTCAGTGGCCACTGTAACATGAATCTTAAAGGGTTTTATTAATAAAAAACCTGGGGCCAACTATTGGGGTAAATTCTGAAAGATCAGAGAGACAGAACAAGCCACAGCCAACCTCACCTCAACAAATCCTCAGCTGATCTCGTTTCCTCAGACTGAAAGCCTCTGAGTCTTCACCCAAAGTATCTCTGCTGAACTGTTGCTAAAAAGCCTAAAAGCTTAAAAGCCTCTGGTTCCTGGTCCTCATGCCTTATATGTCTTTCTGCTTCCTGCCATCACTGCCTGGGATTAAATGCATGTGTTTTTCCCAAGCAAAGACATGAGCTCTCAAGTCCTGGGATTGAAGGTGTGTGCCACCACTGCCTAGCTCTGTTTCCAATGTGGCCTTGAACTCACAGAGATCAGATGGATCTCTGCCTCCTGAATGATAGGATTAAAGGTGTGTGTGCCACCATTTTCTGGCCTTTATATCTAATCTAGTGGCTGTTCTGTTCTCTGATCCCAGATAAGTTTTATTAGGGTACACAATATACTGGGGAACACAATATATCACCACAGGCCACATGCCATTTCATTGCCTAGATCTGCCATAGTTTACATCACTGATCCTGTATTGTTGGTAATTTAGATTGCTTTCTTACCTCATAGTACTCTGAGAACACCTTTCTTTATATATGTTTTTGTATCCCTGTATAATTTTCCTTAGGACAAATCATTTAAAAGGCTATTTTGTGTGTGTGTGTTCAATGACAGACACTTTTCACAGGTTTGAGACAGATTACCAAGTAGGAGTAATACTTTAATCTGCTGTATTATTCATCTATTTTTTTGTGTGACAAATTATCCCAAACTATACCAGCTTAAAAACACCAACACATATTATACCAACATCTTTTATGCATCAAAACTTTATAAATAAGCCGGGCGGTGGTGGCGCACGCCTTTAATCCCAGCACTCGGGAGGCAGAGCCAGGCGGATCTCTGTGAGTTCGAGGCCAGCCTGGACTACCAAGTGAGTTCCAGGAAAGGCGCAAAGCTACACAGAGAAACCCTGTCTCGAAAAACCAAAAAAAAAAAAAAAAAAAAAAAACTTTATAAATAGCTCAGCTTAGGATATGGCAGGGTTGTAGCTTAGAATTTATTTTTAAAATGTTTTTATTTGTGAATGTGGGTGTGTCCATGAGTGTATGGGCACCCTATGTGTGCTTGGTGTCAGTGGAGGCCAGAAGATGTCTGATTCCCCCTAACTGGAGTTACAGGAGGCCATGAGTGTGCATGTGGGGCTGGGAACCTACCCCAGGTCATCTGCAAGAGCAGTAAGTGTTCTTAAGTGCTGACTTGTCACTCCAGGCTCTTAGAGTTTCTTTTGAAGGTGCTCCAAGGTGACCAACAGGATCACAGGACAGTCACTGGGCTATTGAACAGAGAGTCAGAGGGGCTTCAGAAATCACACACCATTACTTTTCTAGTGTTTAAAAACAAATCATAAAACTGACCTTCAGTCAAGGGCAGAGGCAGAGGCAGAGGCAGAGGCAGAGGCAGAGGCAGAGGCAGAGAAAATGCCAAATAGCTTAAGGACATATTTTAAGACTGCAGCACCCAGAAAAAAAATAATCCTTAAGCATCTTAATACACGTACGATTATACGTTTCTTTATGGCTTACAATTCTACATTTAAGAATGCCTTATGAAATTTTCATTCTAAGTTGTACTTAAAATACTTATTTCTTTATTTTACTAAATTATTTTAAGACTTAAAAGTGCAGGACAGTGGAAAGGATATGAGGATTCTGTTTGTACTGTATCTGGTTCATTAACTGTTAGCATTGTGCTGCTCTCTCTCTCTCTCTCTCCCTCCCTCTCTCTCTCTCTCTCTCTCTCTCTCTCTCTCTCTCTCTCTCTCTCTCTCTGCCTTTATCCTCCTCCCTCCATTCTCCCCACATCTCACTCTATTTTCCCCTCAACTATAGTCCAAACATATATACACACCTTAACACTCAGTATAACAGATATAATAGGTATTATCTCACATGAATAGGGTCCTCAGAAAGTAGACAACAGCCCCATAATGCCATTTAATCTCTAGTCCGTACTTAAATAGCCTCAATGTTTCCTAAATATCATTTATACTTTTAAAAATTGAGTACTTAGCCAGGTGGTGGTGGTGCATGTCTTTAGTCCCAGCATTCAGGGGCCAGAGGCAAAGGCAGAGGCAGAGGCAGAGGCAGAGGCAGGCATATCTCTGAATTCAATACCAAAGTCTACAGATCAAGTTCCAGGACAGCCAGGGATATACAGGGAAACCTTGTCTTGGAGAAAAACCAAACCAAACCAACCAACCAAACAACCAACCAACCAAACAAACAAACAAAAAACCCCCAGAAATCCAGGACTTAGGCAAGAACCACACATTTCAGTTGTCTGTTATAGCTTTAGTTTTAAACCCACAACATTCATCTTGCTTATTTCCTGTTTGTTTTTTAAACTTCTAGAATATTTTTCTTTTCATGTTGCATAGAAGAATTAAAGCAAATTGAACTGTGGGATTTTTTTAATGGTATAATTTAACTTGTTCCTTAATAGATACTGTATGTCAAATCTTCAGGCCTGGCCAATCTCAGGTAAATATTAAACATGACACTTCATATATCATTATGCATGACACCAAGATGCACACATGTGTTCATTGTTTCTCTCATTGTTGTGAGGCCAGGCGGTAGTGGTGCATGCTTTTTATCCCAGCACTCGGGAGGCAGAGCCAGGCAGATCTCTGTGAGTTCAAGGCCAGCCTGGGCTACAGAGTGAGATCCAGGAGAGGCGCAAAGCTAACACAGAGAAACCCTGTCTCGAAGCTGGTTGTGGTGGTGCATGCCAGTAGGATTTGCTGAAGGAGGCGGAGGCAGGAGGATCACGAGTTCAAGGCCAGCCTGGGCTACACATTTAAAAGCCCGGCTAGTTCAGTTGGTAGAGCATGAGACTCTTAATCTCAGGGTTGTGGGTTCGAGCCCCACGTTGGGTGCCAGATATTGGTGAAATTATTAAGGCCACTCCACGTAGTTAAAAGGAAGATTTATTTAGTGGGTAACTTACAAATGAAGGGATAGGTAGGTCGTGGGGTTTGGGGAAGGTGTATTGCAGTCCAGCAGTGTTCTCTGGAGCTCATCTCGGTCAACCTCCACCATCTAGGGTCCAGGAACAGAGAGCGTGCTGGCCCATCCAGATCTCAGATCTCTCAGTGCCTCCCTTGGCCCCGCCTTGTAGGCGTGACAGTTGCCGAAGCCTCAATGGGGGTTGGAACTTCCAGATCAAATGTTTCTCTCATTGTTGTGATATCACTGCTGCCAAGAGCAGCTTCTGAAAGGAGGGGTTTATTCTGGCTCATGATTTGTGTGTACAGTTCATCATAGTGAGGAAGACTTGGTGGAAGGAGTGTGAGGCTCTGGTCAGCTAGTGTCCATAGTCAATAAATAGAGAGGGATGGTGCTGGTGATCAGAATGATTTTTTCAGTCTGGTCCTGAAGCCGATGGGATGGTCCTGCCTACATTCAGGGTGGGTCTTCCCTCTTCTGCTAAAATGCCCTGGTAACAGCCTCATGAGTGCGTTCTGAGGTGTGTTGCCATAGTGATTCTAAGTCCAAGCAAGTTGACAAGATTAGCCATCACAATACAAACAAGCTTGTCTGACTATTGATAGATAACATTAAATTTGATCATTTAGGGTACCAAATACCAGATGTGTCTACTTTGGATTAATAAATAGTTTTAATTACTTTTCCTCTTCCTGTGATAAGATTCTCTGACAAAAGCTACTTAATAGAGAAAAGGTTTATTTTCACTCACAGTTCCAGGATACAGTCCACCACAACCGAGAAGTCACTGAAGTAGGAGCATGGAGCCAATGGTCACACTGTATCTGTGGTCAAGAAGCACAGAGCATTAAATGCTCAAGTTTAGTTTGCTTTCTCATTTTATACAGTCCAGTATCCCAGTCCATGAAACGGGCAGGCTTCCCTACCCCCAATGAACCTAATCAAGTTATGCCACACAAGCACACTGAGAGATCAGTCCCCTGGGTGATTTTAGATGTCATCAAATTGACAATTGAGGTTAACTATCACAGTAGGTAATTTGAGATTTTTATAATCAATGTATTTTCTCTCCATGGCTTTGGAATCCACTAAGGATTCTTTTCTTAACAACTATTATATTGGGAATAGAGTTACCAAATGGTGATTTCTTTCTTTTATCATTTAATCTGAATTTATTAACTGTATTCTTTAAAAACACCTTTTCTTCTCTCTGAAGGACAGCTGTTGGCTGTTGGATATTATAATCTTGTCATTCTTTTTAGTGTTCAAATTATTCCAAATGTGCCCAATAAAATTCACTCTAAGTTATTCCCCATGTACCATTGGCATGGCTCCATCAATTTTTTAAATACTGTTATACTTCTTGAGATATGATGCCCAGCTTCACCTTGAACCTTCCTTACTGCTGACTGGAACAAACCATTTCCCAAGATAATTCTGTTCCTTTAAATAGGGAATACAATTTAGACATCCATGAGGGTGGGGGTGTATTTTTAATGATTAAATTTCAAATACTGCTATTGGCTTCTTTGTAAGGAATTTTTTTTTGAGGAGTCAGACCCTTCTAACTGTTTCTCTAGATACACTACATGTAACATGGACTATAACATTCCTCCTCAAAGTCATACGATACACTACAAGCCAGACACCATCTTGGAGCTTCAGAAAGCTGGCTGAGACCAAGAAGAACTGAGTTATTCAGAATCCAACGTCTTAGCTTTAGCAACAGCATCCTGAAATAAAAAAGTGACATTTGGAGAAAATTATGAACTCTTTCCTTATTTTTTAATGCCACCTGTATCATTGAAGAGACATAGATCAAAGCTCCTGCTTCTTCTAGCTAGTCTCATAGTGTCCTGTTCATCTAATGTATATACGGTGATCTGAGACTAGATCTCAGATGAATTAATAACAGACTCATTTCTCTTAAGACTTTTAGTCTCTCAACCTCAGGATATGGCAGAACACCCTTTCCTTTGCATACCAACAAAAGCATTCTGATACTGGTAACATATCTGGTTTTTGTAAACACTCTGGACCATAAATACCGATGTATGGTGTATCCTAGCTATGCTACCCCATTTAATTTCCTAATTTCAACTATGTTGCTTCAGTTCTGCTGAGCAGATATTAAACAACAGTACTTTCCTCACTCTGTCCAGTATTCAGTGGCCTGGAAGGAGTCACCTTACCCAATCAGATTCTCTTCCTCAAGGATTTGAACTGAGAATCCCAGTATGGCCTTTAAGGTTTCAATAGCCGAACATGGAGTCGAGTGTCACAGCTATGTGTGCAGTAAGGATATAAAGATGCCTGGAGATTAAGGTAATTTGAGTAGGAGGTAGAAAGAACCCAGGATGGTGGAGCCACACCATGGCTAAGAAATGGAGACTTGGCATTCTAGCTTTCTATCATTTCTAGTCCTGGGCGTCTGTGGAGTTTTTATGTCCTTGAAATCATCTTGACTTTTCGTGGAATTAGTTTGTTGTTTTGCAACTGACAAATCTTGGCTCTAATTCTCTGCGGTACAGTCATGCACATCCTTTTTTTTTGTTCTTTTTGTTGCTGTTATCCAAAGCTATTGTGTATTGGGATTATTTTATCTGCAATTATCAGATGAATAGGACACTGTCAAGCATTTGCTTAGAAGAAAAGCTGCTACGTAAAATATTAAATGGACGGAACATTTATTTCTTTTGGAAGAGCAATCAAATGTTTGCAAATATATGACCTTGCCTGGAGTCAGAGTTTAGATCAATCTGATTACAATCCAGCCAATCAGAACCCAGCAATGCCTAGATCATATGTCAGTCTCTTGATATGAACTTACGTTACCTGCCAGAAATTGATGGCTAGACTCTCATCCTTCCTACTGTGCCGCAAAGCAGCACTCAGCATTCCCATTTGAGAATAGCAAATGTTTATAGTGAGATAAAGTTAAAATACAGTATGATAAAAATATGAAGGGCTAAATTGGTGGAATACAGTCTGATGCATATTTGCTGTTTTCTGAAAGTGTCCCGCTTTAGACCTAGTCACTGGAACCCTAGGCTCACACGACTGTTGGACATTGTCTTCCTGTTTCTTCTCTCTGTCACTCAGGTGGTGGATATCTCCTCAGAACCTTTGTTGGTTGGTTGGCAACCACTCACAGTGTACACTCTCTCAAGAACTGTACTGTGCCATCAAGAGCTGCTGGCCCATGGTGTTTCCCACAAGAGGCCTGGCCTGATGTTTCCAGTCAGATCAGCTCTGTGATGTTATTCTTGCCCTAGGGTTCCCTGTTGGATCAAGCAAGAGCGAGATTTTCAATTTCCACATCCCCACCTGGCTTCCACCCCCTCCATCTTGCTTTCCTTACTCCTCTATTGGTTTTGCCCGAGGCCATTCTCTCAGTGAACTGCTCGCACATTAATTCCCACCTCAGCTCTGTTTTCAGGGGCTCTAACTTAAAGGATCTCATATTATTCTGACTAAACCAAGATGGTCTTCCCCTTGCTTCTGTCTGGAGCTGTGCTTGCTCCCCAGTGGTGGCTGATCCATTCCCATTCAATTACAGTTTTCTTCTGAGACTTTTTTTTTTTTTCTCTCCATCTCATCACATATGTGGCCCATTTAGCACCTGGCGCTAGGATGGTTTTAGGGGAATAAAAGGTCTTTGTTCAGGAAAATGACTTCATGAACTGAGGGAGAGCTGAAAGAGCAATCTTAAGGGCAGGCAGGGCTCACACTAACGAGGAGGATGCAACACAAAGTTGACCTGCATTAAGAATGAGCACCCACTTCACGCTGAACCAGGAAGGGTACAGGGCTCAGGAAGAATAGAAAACTCTGACGTGAAGATGTGAGAAATTTACCAGTGGAGGAGTTGTGAAATGACCCTAAAGCCAAGAGTGCTCAAGAACCATAAACTGTGCTGTTCTGTTGTTATCCAGAGGGCTCCCATTGTGCGAATTTAATTTGCCGGCACAGATCAGTGGGGGTGCCTATGGGGGAGGTAAGGGCTGCGGGAACTCCAGTTTCATAATCACCATGTTGCTGACTCCACAGTATCTTTTCAAGGGAGCAATAGTGCAAGGGTCCTGGCGTCAGCTTATAGAAAAGGAAATGATTTACCCTGGAGAAACTCACAATGGCAGAGAGAAGCAGCCCTGACGTGAAATGGACTCACGGCAGGAGGTATGCCAAAAGCCTTCTTCCCCTCTAAGTGGACTAGAATAAGATGACTGAGGAGCAAGCAGAGAAAAGCTGGCGTGTGAACACAGACAGACACATAGATAGACATGGAAACACCACACACACACACACACACACACACACACACACACACACACCCATTTGTGACCTCACAGTCTTAGATGAAATTCCGGTAAAATGGAACATAAAGCATCTAAATTTCCAACATGGTTATGTAACCTTTATTTGGCTTTCTGTTTTTTTTCTTTCTCTCTCTCTCTCTCTCTCTCTCTCTTTTTTTTTTGTTTCCTCCCATAATAGACAACATCAGTGCCTATTAGTGCTGGCCTTGGGAAGATTAAGTGCTTTTAGAACGTGTACCCTGGGATAAACAAAGAACAAGCATATCCTGGTAACAAATCAGTTTCCTAGGAGGACAGACATAGTTGTCTACCCAGTCCTCTAAGGTTTGCTCACTTTCTCACGCCTCATCTCAAACGCTTTCCTCACAAGGACTCTGCTAACCTCCTCCTGGTCTACATGAGCTCTTGGCTCTTTGAGCCCTCTGTAGCTTACTATTTGAGGAGTTCTTAGGATTAGGTTGCGCTACCTTTCCTATTGTTATATACAATTAGAAACCATCTTGAAAAATGTAAATTAAGACAGGAAGAACTCCAAGAAGTTTCCCTGGCCATATCAAAGGAAGCCAGTCCAATTCATAATGGCTTTATATGTTCTCCAAATAAAACAGCAGCATGGCTTGTATTAATACATAAGTCCTTTGCTCATATTGACTCATATAATATTCACTATGGCCCTACCATATTCGTTTGTCGCTAAAACAACTGAATCACAGAGATGCTAGGGGAATCTCATTTAAGGAAGTGCGGAGGCCAGATGTGAACCCCAAGCACTTACACGAGGTTCAGAGTCCGTGCTCTTGGCAGGGAAGATGACCAGTGGGAGGAGGCGGGGAAAAGGGATGGGAATGGGAGATTGAATACGATCGAAATAAAATGATGTACATGCTTGGAAGTGTCATGATGGAACTGTTAATGTTTTTTTTTTGCTAAAAATATTTGATGGAACATAAAACTGAGAAGTCAGGGAGGAGTCCAGCTTCTTAGCTGGTAAGTCATGTAGCCTGGCGTGGCACTTAAAACATCGTGGTCTACAAATTCCATTCTTCAGCCGGGCGGCGGTGGTGCACACCTTTCATCCCAGCACTCGGGAAGCAGAGGCAGGCGGATCTCAGTGAGTTTGACACCAGCCTGGTCTCCAAAGTGAGTTCCAGGACAGCCAAGGCTACAACAGAGAAACTCTTCTCAAAAAAAAACCAAAAACACAAACAAGCAAACAAACAAAAAAACAACAAAAGCAGCCACAGCAGAAACAAATTCCATTCCTCTCCCCGAAGCATGCCATTAATCAATCACTCACTACAAATAGTGATTCATTGTCTTTCCTCTTGTCCTGGATGCCTCTACTTCTATAAACTCTGCTTTTTCAAATGGGAAGTTTATGTAATCATCAGTACCAACAGATCCAGGCCTTTAGCACACGTCTTATCACTCTACATCAAGCTTCAAATGCCTTAAATATATACCACATGGGGGCCGGAATGAGTCTCAGATCCAAAATATGTT